ATTGAGATTATGAAGGGAGACAAATACGGCTAGTCCCCGGCGCGGCGTGTCACAGCATCCGGCTCCCAGACTCAGACAGAGCAGAGACAACAGGTTAAATTCCGGCTCTCAGACTCAGACAGAGCGGAGACAACAGTTTAAATTGAGATTATGAAGGGAAACGGCTATCCCTGGCGAGACATCACAGCATCCGGCTCCCAGACTCAGACAGAGCGGAGACAACAGCGGAGCCAACAGTTTAAATTGAGATTTTCAATTCAGATTATGAAGGGAGACAAATCCAGTTAGTCTCCGGTGGGGCGCGTCACACTATCCCTTTCTTTGCACAGATTGAGAACCCCAATACTTCGCTGTTTGGGGAATGACTCTGTATGGTTAGTGGTGAGCTGCAAACTGACTGCTATTTATGTGGTGGTGTGGTGTCATAGATGTGGGGGTGAGGCGCAGGAATTCTTTGATTTCCTGTAAGCCCTGCAGAGGGATGGACCAGTGAGCCTCAGGCCAGAACTTGTCCGAGTTTGGGGCCGAAAGAGGTGCATGAGTAATGGGTCGCAGACCTCAATTTGAAGAAGAAGCAACGAAACCCTAAGCCGGCAAAGCCCCAAGCGCCGGAAAAAAGGCATGGCGGGTTTGTGGGCAATCGGTTTCCCAGAACGAAGTGATGTTTGTCACGAGGCCGAAGCGAAAAGCAAACGTAGCCAACCACCCAAAAACAATAGCGCTGACTAGATGCAAACGTTAAGAGCCCGGGCTCATCGGACTCCATGGTGTCTCACGGCTCGCTCCGTCCGAGCTGAGGATTTAAAGACATTTTCCTCGTCCTGGCTGTTGACTGGACACATCGAACACATATCCACTATGCTGGGCATAGCCATTGACGTTTGTCCGCCAGTCTCCTCATGCTGGACACAGTTGCGGATCTGGAATCGTGTGAACAGGAGTATCAACCAGGTGTCGTCATGTTGGACCTCAGCACTCGTCTCCTGAATTAGGTCACGGGCTGCGTCTATGAATGACATTGCGTGACCCGCCTTGCAGTCGATGGTGAGAAAAAAAGATGCCCACGGACCGAGAACGGTGCAGGATGGCTGTTCAAAGCATTCACTTTCCTGAGAGCTATTAGCGGATAATTTGTTGTTCCGGTTCGCCGGCCCCATAGATTCGGAGCCTCAACGGCCTTGTTGTCCTCCCAGCACGTAGGATCACAAACTGGGTTGCAGGTTGCAGAGGACATGAGTTGCTCATGCCAGTTGTTCAGGTCATTACCCCGGCTGTGTTCTGCGTGCTGCTAGCAGGCCTGTGATGGCCTTGTTGACGGTCGCCGGAGCATGTTAGTCACGAGAGCCCCGAGACGTGCAGATGGAATCCATTCTGCGAGTGCTCATTTGCTGATATTCTAGCAGAAGGAGCGCCATATCCTACATAAATGCACAAAATCCTGACAGTTGCATTGCAACGGAGCGAACGCACGCATGTGGTCCAAAGATTGTAGCAACTGTGGGTGCAAGATCGTCGTGTCATCACTTCATCCCGAGGGTTCATATGCGTCGGGGTCGTGTGTTCATATTGCGAGTTTGGCAAGGCTTTGGCGCCGTGTCAAATTGTTGGACAAGCCGCCGGGTCCCAGATTGAAGGGACAAGCAGAGTCTCGCTGAAACAAGGCATGTTGAAGACATATCCCTTTCCCAGCCTGTCCCCGACCCCGGCCGGGCACAGAGGCTGGAAGAGTGGCGACTCTTCAGGCGAAGAAAGCTACGAGGCGGCTCAACTTTCCGAGCAGGAGAAGATGCGCTGGACGACGGTATTCGACATTAGATTCGCACTGAGACACAAGCTCTCTTGCCTATGTACTCCAGACTGATCGTTCTTCCTAAGTGTATTTCAGTCTTTCTCATGTTGCCAGGCATTAGCAGCCTGCCTGCATCCAGCCGGTGGTTCTTTCTTCCAGGGCCACCGCTGTGCCTTCGTGTCGGCTTTGCTTCAGAGTCAACGCCTTGCAAAGGGCAGTTCGTTTTGCTGAGGCAGAGGCAAACCAAAGTTCAAGCTGTCCTCGAAGGCGGACGTCGACTTGTTGCTGAAGCTTGCCGACCTTTTATCTATCTTTGTCTTAGGATGCTATTGCATCTATTGCTGCGAAGGTGCCCCATGATCCTGGTATCATTTATCGTCACGGCCTTGACAGTGCTGGAGACCATCCCGCCCTTGCAGTGGGTGTCTCGACTGCACTAGCCAAACCAGTCCCAGACTTGCATTCCCATGACAAGACTTGCGAGCGAAATGAAGGTCGCCTCTCTGGGCTGGAAGAAGGTGCATGCCTCAGGGGAGAGCAGCTCGAACAGATGCCTGCGTGCAAATGCCAATTGGTGTGGATTTCACTAGTAAAACTCTGCGCATGATAAGTTGCAAGAAACGGCCGAACGACATAGAATAGCTGCAAATGGCAAGAGGACAGCAACTGAACTGGTGTCGCCATTGCTCGTGAATTCGACAGATGAGACAGTTCATGTCTGTATAGAATGATGCAGGTCATGTACTGCCATGCACAGACCTAGAAGCATGCAGAAGAACTCGCTCAAATTGGTTGGAGGCGTGTATGCTGGCTTTCCTGCTGAAGTTGTTCTGGCTCCGGCTGTGTGTTGGACTGGCCAGGTCCTTACCCACTTGGAAGCCGTTTTGACCATATCCCAACATTTGCAACAGTGGATGAAGCAACACGGCTCGTGAGCTGCAGTTCTACCGGACTCCGTTTATAAATCAAGCTTTTGTCGACATGAAAGGCTTGGATGAAGCTGGTGTGCAGCATTGGCCTTTGGTAATCTGCGTTTCGGTCCACCAGGCGAAGCTGAGACACTCTACCACCCGAGGTTACACGAAAGTACGCTTTTGCTCTTCAGAACTCGCCAGCATCGGCTGGCGAGTTCGGGCGCCAGTCAAGCGGAGTCATCGCCGAGGCCATGACGGCGATCCGAAGCTGGTGCTTCGGGCGTCTGGGAGGTGTTGGACGTCCCCTCGAGCTGTGGTGGAGACCTTACATAGGAAACCGACCGCAAAACAAGAGATTGCAAGTTTGGGGTTTCTCTGAGGCTTGATGCATTGTGCATGTTCAGGGACTTCCTGGTCTCGCCGCGGCCCTGCCTTGAATTCTTGGGCCGAGAGACTTCTGCTTCCACCCTCGAGGCTGATCATCTTCCTGGCCTTGTCACCACTGGTGTTTTTGTCCGGCCTTTCTGAATTCCTATGCCGGGCGCCCGTTCAAGGCAGGCCAAGGTCGCAAGATCGAAGTAGAACTGCGAAGCACACGGTTCGAGAGGCATGGCACGGGTAGACGTTGCATCAGCGCGTGCTCCAGACGGAATGCGCGACTGCTCGAGTGGCCTGTTCATCGGCTCGAGGTCCAACGTTCAGCATTCACCACCTCATCATCTACAGGCAACTTACGGCTCACACTGTTTCAGAAGTAAGAACTAGCTTTGGGGTCTAAGAGGGGGTGCGCAAGTCACCAAATCGCTTCCGAGCCGAATGTATCCTGCCAGGGAAGACTAGCGCAACCACAGTAAGATTCCCCATGTCGTGAGAAAAAAACTGTCAAGGCAGCCCGGGCACACTGATCGCGAGAAGCTGGACTACGATCCTTTCGTGGCCCGGATGTGCCAGGAACTTGGTTGCTGAAGTCCATGCTTTTGGACGAGTTGCAGGGGAAGACGTTAGTCAGGTGCTTACCTGTGCTGTCACCCAGGCTTCGATTGCCACGAAGATGAGGATTCGGAGGATGGCTTGCCTACCAACAGTGATGACGCCCAATGTGTTGCATGTCACAACTGCAAACAACTGCACAACCGTGCCCACAGTAGGTCGACATGGCTGCACATGCTCATGTAAGCCAAGAGTTTCCGATTCTGGAATATTCTGAGCATGTCTGCATGGTGACTTGGTTGCTGAGGACGAGCAGCAGCGTTACTTCAAGCGAAACCCAAATTCCTAGCCGCCGTCTTTATGATTTGTAAGCCGCAACGCAGGCACGACAAGCAATCCCAGAATTCAGCACAACGCCGCAATGCACCCGGAAGCGTTGCACCGGGCTCGTCACAACATAGCAACCGCGTACACATCACACACACACACACATCCGCACAAGCTCAAGCAGTCATGCACGGGTGTTCCCTGGCAGACGTTGCTGCTTGCACCGGCATAGACGTCCACAGTAGACGCCAGGTTTAACCAAGAAGACGGCGGAATCCTCGTAAGCAGCAGTTGTGGTTGTCCTGAGTGTTCCTATCGCGCTAGGGTTGGGGCTCCCGCAGAAACACCACGAGAAAATGTGCTTGCAGCAGTTCGTGCAGAATGCCAGCCGTTGGAGCGCAGGAGGATTCAGAGAGCAGCGTCTCTTCTGTCTGATGGGGACCTGAAGGTACCTGAAGCCAATACTCTGGCTGGTCTGCTAGCGCAGTTTCAGATTTCAGGACACAAAACGTGTCAGACCTGGGATGGCGAGTCACTCGTGGAAGATATTCCGACAGATGTTGCTGAGGTTCTCCCGCTTGAAGCCTTGACCGTTTTCATGACACACAGAGTAGCATGTAATGTATTGAAGAGAGTTTTCGGGACGTCATCGGAGCTGTGCATCACCAACAGTTCTCGCCAGGGAAGCCACAGAATCGAAGCTAAACAGCAGTGCTTCTTCGAACAAGAGCCCGGGCAACCATTTTCCTAGCTAGGATAGGAGCGAGACTGGGATGCAGATTTGCTTTTTGACGTTGCTTTGCACAGCTGCAGTTGGAGCCCTTAGATGCCGTCCAAATCTGGCATCCCAGTACGTCGTGCGAGGATCGCTTTGACGAAGAAAAGGCCCGGTTTCCTCTTCGCAGTGTAAGTCCACTGAACCCCGGGCGCTACTGAGATGCCATGAGCATCTCAAAACAGATGCAAGCGACTAACGCCTGCCTTCGTACCTACAATCGGGCACCAAAGTGTTCTCACAGGAAGAGCCTTTAGAGCTGCTCCCTCGATTCAACTCCTCTTGGGGACGGGCTCACAACTTTGCCAGTCCTAGCTTATACCATCTTATACTCACCGAAAGAAGTCGGCTTGGGTACTAGTACCACACCATGTCGACCTTCCGCCATGCTTGCGAGAGCGTTGAAGGCTCAGCACGCGGTGTTTGGCTGTCGGGCCCTCCTTGCAGGGCCCAGTAGCCTCGTTTATGCTCGCTGTCGCCTTGACGTGCAGCAGCACCACCCCGTCCGCGGCAGCCAGTATGATCCACCTGATCTTTGCAAGTCCATCACGACTTGTTCACACGGATGCTGGCATTGCCTTTGGGCCTGTGGGTCCATGTTTGTGAACGTTCTCTTGTTGGTCCCCTCCGTCGGTGCCTTGTAGGGTGTTGATCCCACAGTTCTGGGAGGGGTGGGGCATGATTGAACTGTTCAATTCTTGGGAGGGAGGGGTTAACAGCGAATCCCGATTTCTGAGGCGGGAGAGGCGGGTTAGGGCAAGAAGTCCACAGCGACGACAAAAATACGGGAATGCTTCTCTGTGCAATCTAAGACAAGACGTACATCCCGCATTCCGCGTGCATTACGTATACCTCAGCCCATGTGAGTCCCAAGGCGTCGCCCTATGTTTGTTGGCTCCCAGACAGGCTGTTGTGTCAGAAAAAGTTTCTGTTACACAGGACAGTCTGTTAGACGAGGACTGTAAGAGTTCGATTTCCAGCCGACTGTCTCGCCGTGCATTGCATGGGTTTCTGATAGAATCTGTTACACCCTTTTGTGCTTGGGAGGTTGTTCTACGTTGTTCTTGTAAAGGAAGAAGTTCAGAATGTGCTATCTTTTGGAAGGGGTCTGACTTTGCTTAGTTAAGCCCGTTTTCCTGACGCTTCTTGCCCTGACTGTCGCACACAGCGTTTTTGGTTTGGAGGGGTTTTCTGCAACAGCAAACTTCCATTAGAGAAGAGCCTTTGTTAGAGAAGGGTTTATGTTGGAGAGGCTTCTCCTGGCAGAAATTGGGTGTAGTACGCATGTATGTACGTGTATATATATATATATGTTTACTTACTTAGGCACTTGTTTAGCTATTTATGTGTACGTGCATGCGTGCGTGCGTGGGTGCGTCCGTGGGTGCGTGGGTGCTTGGGTGCGTGTGTCTGTGCGTGTGTCTGCGCGTGCGTGCGTGCATGCGTGCACGCGTGCGTGCGTGCGTGCATGCGGGTGGGCGGGCTGGCGGGCGGGCGGGCGGGCGGG